TTTGGGGCGTTTGCTGCTGACTTTGCAAACGGTCTTAGATCGGAAAATGTTTTCACTTTTCAGTTAAACTCTACATGTCTATGGGAGATGAAGAATGTCAAGGCATTGTGATGAATGATTGGTGCGGATGCACAGTGCTGATGAACGTGCATGGCATGTTGTTAAGCCGTGAAACAGATCTCGGGCCTTCCCGATTATTGCCACTTCCACCACCAATGACAGCTATGCATCCATCAGAAAGCAAGCTATGGCCCGTTTTTAGACGGGGAGTGTGAAGCAGTCGCAACGGGATCTTGGGGGATTATCCGGGCAGCGCCTGTGTTAGGTACGGCCATTTCGTTTCAGTTGAGACCGTTGGATTTGCCTGCTTCCCCTTCTCCATCATCTGAATTACATCTGCATCGCATCGCATCATCGTCATCATCATCGCCATCCCCGCCATCATTGTCGCCGTGGCCGTCGTCGTCATTATCATATTTCCATCCCCGATCATCTCTCCAACCAATGGTTGTGGAGGCAACATATAAGAATATAACAACAGCAAAAAACAGAACAGTCCATAAGGAAAGTCAGAGGGGGTTGTTTTTTGTATTAAAATAAAAAATAAATAAATAAAATGGTAAACATGGTTGAGTGCAAGAGAAAGACGAAAGATCACAGCTGGGCAAAATTCACATGGAACCCCACAAACCACCCAAATCCCTCAAATTGGGGGGACCATGAGTCACATTGATACCCCTTGAACCCCTCAAAAATGAGGGCACCTCTGGACATCTGCCTCAAAACCCACAAATTGACAGAAGTGTAATGACCTGCCAAACACATACTGAGACACACAGCCGATTTCTGAGTTTTGCTCATGGAATGTATGCCTTACTGAGTTTCGCACTTGTTGCTGAGTTTTCTAATTCTGTGTGGGTGCGTGCTTGCTGGTCTGCATGTCTGTCTGAGTGCCTGGCTTGAGTGTGTGTGTGACCCGCAAGGGCACTTGTTTGTTCGCAAGGCCCGAAGGGCCGGTACTTACCTGTGGCCGTGACATTGAGGGTTGCAGCGGGGAAAACACTCAAGTGGCGGGGAAAGAGGCCGGTGACACTTAGAGCAGCGGAAAACACTCAAGTAGCAGGTAGGCCGGTACCACACCAAGTAGAGGTAGATGTGCCGGGTACTTGAGGCCGAGCAGAAGAAGACAAAAGTTGGCATTTTTAGAGGCCCAGTAGGTGTAGGCTAGGTCTAGGCGGGTACCGGTCCAACCAGTCTGAGTCTAGGGCCTGTACGAGCAATCTGTCAGACTCTGCAATGATGTTTCCCTCCGAAAAGGTGGAGGTACCGGTTGCTTGGAGGCCGCGCAGCCTAGGAAGTCACTCGCCAAGAGGCAAGCAGGGCGGTATGTTTCCAGGAGGAGCAAGGTGCTCCTCCTCATTGTCAGTGTGCAAGTTTGGCGACACACTGGTTGGAGCGCTGGCTGGAGCAGCGCTAGCATCAGAGAAGCGTTGCTGGGGAGGAGCAACTAAAGAGGAGGAAGAAGACCAGGACTAGGATGATCGAGCGCCAGAGGTACTTACCTGGCTATGGTGGATGCCATCTTCATCACCTTGGTGGGCGCTGCATCTGGAAGGCCTCCGTGGGGGTAGAGCTGCACCAAGAAGCTTGGTTGGGGTTAGGGCTGGAAGTTGAGGGAAATGGGGCAGTGTGGTTTAGGGAGGCTTGGGGCAGCATGGTTTAGGGAAGCTTCCCCCACCTGGTTAGGTCGTGTTGGGTCGATACTTGACCTCACTGGGTTGTATGAGAATAAGATTGGAATGGTGAGACACTTCGAGAAGACTTCGTGCAACATTCGGGAGAGGCAACAGTGAGAGGCTCTCGCACCTGGAATCTGATTCAAGGGAGACACTTGGCGACTTTAGGGCTTCCCTCAAGTAGGCGAGCTTGAGGAAAGCAGTCATTCTGCATCTACGGACTGCAACTTGCTACTTTGTTCTTCAGCATCGGTGGGGGATCCGCCATTGCACTTTGGTGTTGGAGTCAGATCCTCCTAGTAGATAGGACACTAGTGTAGGGGTTGCGTTAAAAGGGTCAGGAGGACCATAATAGAGGGGGTGAGTTATATTCATCTCGAACCTCAGGCCGCTCATGTAAGTGCCGTGCACCTACGGGATGGCCATGTATTTGTGTGCATGGTATTGAGTTACATTGGGTTTCTTTTCCTACGCCTCTGTGGTCTTTATTTGTGAATCTGAGCATGCAAACTGTTTTCTCACCTGATGGATGAAGAGATGAGGTATCTTGCTTTGGACGCCTTATCTTTCTATAATTCATTTTCTCTTTGTCTCTAGACGGATGTAGACTGGTGGTTCTTTCTGAAGTTGAAATCTGTTTTCGAGTTCGGTAGAGGTAGAAAGTAGGTCCATGTGGGACTGTTCTTGGTTGGTACTTGGTCACAACCCACTTGGGACCTTCAAGGTACCTAGTGGGACCAGACCCAAGCAAGAAAGGCCTCTTAGGCCCAAATCTGTCGGACATTAGATCATTCTCTTTTTGCCTGGGACGCAAAGTTTTATTCTTTGGTTAGAGCATTCGCTGCCGAGGGGATCTCGGCTGAGATGTTTTGTATACTGTGACTGCACGGGCCTTAGCTTGACTCGCACCTTATGCACCACCCAAATCTTCATTGTTGCATGTTGATGTCTGAATTTGCTGTACGGTCACGGAACTGATCAGATTTGACTCGAGAGGATCTCGTATTCGGTCTGATCAGCCTGAGATTACTTTTTTTTTTTCTTGGTTGCTCTGCTCCGGCTAGGAGTTCTCCCTTCTCTTCTTTGGATTTTTCAGTTTTTCTTTTTTTGAGTTCATATTTCGATGCCCGTAGAGACTCGTGGACAGAAGGAAGAGAGAGAGAGAAGGGAGAGAGAGATTACGCGTCTCGAGGGACTTGCTGAAATGGCAGCGGTAAAGGCTTCTGTGGGCCAACTGGATGCAGCCATCGAAGAGAAAAAATCATTGTTCCAAGTCCTCTACAACAAGGCACTGGATAGAGAAGAGAAGGCGGAGGAGGAAAAGCGGAAAACCTTTGTTGCGGACCACGAGGCTGTTTTTAAAACAGTCCCCTCCTTGCCCGACACTGAGGTCAAGAAAGATCTGGTCACATATGTGCGTTCTCTCATAGACTGTCACCTACTCGGTGAAATTCCTGGTCAGATTGCTAAACTTTTTGACCAGGTAAGTGAACTGCAGATGCAAATTGCGGATATGGCCAAGGAGTACAGCGATCTTATGCAGCAGATGGCAAATCTGCATCATGCCTCGATCCCAAATTTTCTTCCTCGACCTTCTGCCTCAAATGCTGCTAACCAGTCTGTCCTTGTTCCTCTCCATGCCTCTACCTCTTCGCCTCTAAGTGTTGTGTGTCCAAAATCGGATTCAACGCGCGTTCCACGTTAAAAAATTGAACGCGCGTTGAATTCGCGTTAAACTCCCGTTCAAACGCGCGTTGGACGCGAATGAACGGGGTCCGCGAACCCGACTTTCGGGCGGTTGGGGGGGGG